GTTTCAGGCTGGACATAAGGAAGAATTTCTTTACCGTCTGAGCCCCCAAGGTCTGGAACAGCCTGCCATCGGAGGTGGTTCAAGCACCCACATTGAACACCTTCAAGAGTAAATTGGATGCTTATCTTGTTGGGATCCTATGACCCCAGCTGACTTCCTGCGCTTCGGGCGGGGGGACCGGAATCGATGATCTTCTGAGGTCCCTTCCACCCCTAATGTCTATGAAATCTATGAAACCTTCAATCAAAGCAGCAGGACAATGCTGATGGTCCTTTTCTTCCAAGCCGTGAGCTAAATGCCATGTTTAAAGCCAGCTCCCACTTGCCACTCTCTCATTATATCCACCATTTCTGCTCTTCTCTATGAAAGAAGTAAACAACAGGGCAGCAGTTCCCTCTCCACCACTTCTTAAAGAACATATTAATTCCAGAGGATGTGCTTGCTTTCCTTCAAGAACAATAAATATTTCACAAACCAGATACTGAAGCAACTCACTGGACTCATGCATATGGTTCTCCTTCAACTAGGGTCTCAGTTTTAAGTTTGAAAACTTCTGTTGTTTCATCATAATTTTAAGAAAAATATTTTCAGAGAAAAAAGGGATAATTAATTGGTAGACATCAGCCCCCCTAGTCTGGCCAAAATGCACACATTGCTACAGTATTCTTCACACATTATGACTATTCTGACAGGAACCAGGCGGGCCTTGGACTGCAAAGCAAACAAGAGAAACACGTGGCACCTGCTTTGGTGGCCTAACTATCACAATGCTCTGTCATCACTAGGCTCCTCACAGACATTACATTTATCATGCAAATGCACAGTAAATGGCAACAAGACATGTGCAAGCTATTTCAGATCCAAAAAATGCTAAACCACCACAAAGACACTCTACATTTTAATATTCCCATTTAATGCAGAACAACTTTGTAGCTGGTTTGTATCACACTTAATTTTAAACATTTGGCATCTAGACATGCAGGAGCTGTGCACGCAGCCCACCTGCATGCACAACCCTTGATTATGCCCTCCTGCAGGTAGTCAGCATATTCAAAGGGCAGAAGCATACTACTGGGCTGCACCAAGCCTTTTAAAAGTCTTGGGTCTGGAAAGCCTGAAATCAGAGAGATTCCCAGTTCCACCATGCTTGCCTTTCAAGAGGCCAGCTGGTAGGGAGCCCAGCATCGGGGATCTAGGCCCAAGTCCAGACTCCTTGTACTGGTAGTTGCGTGCCTGGGATCAGAGGAATTTTATCCCCAATGCCAAAAATCCAAAGTCTTGCCATGCACATCTGAGGATCAGGTATAAAATTCCTCTGATCCCAATCACACGATTATATGAACATCTTCCAGGGACCCTAGGGATGGATGAACCATCATAAAGTAAATGAGGACCAACCTAAACCTTTGCATAAAAATCAAGTGCAACCCAAACTTTCACCCAAAATTCAAATTCAAAATCTAATTCTGAAGATTGAAAAAGGCTAAAACAGAACATGGATTTAGAAGCATAACTGAAACCACCTCAGTGAGGAAATACAGGTCTCTGCTTTTGTGAAGAGCTTTCCAGCAGTCTGTGTACCCTTGTGAGCAAGAAATGTGTTCTCTTTTTGAAAACCACCAGGGCTAACTTTCATCCACATGATAACACCTGCATTCAAAATTAGCATCTTTACAAATGTCTTGGACAACTATCTTATCACTGACAAATCATATTCCCCAAACAAAAAAGAAAGTGCCTTCTAATCCAGAGGACCAGCTAGACTAATATATGAGTCTACTGAAGCCATAATTCTACAAGGAAGCCAAGATACAGATGAGTGCAACTCCTTTCAATAGCAACATTAACTATGATCCAGCTAGCATTACTTTGGTTTTATGAATGCCTGCAAGGAAACCAGTTGGCCCCAACTGTGCCTTATTCAATTCTGCCATTTAAATACTGGGCCCTATTATAATCTGACAGCCTCATAGATCTCACACATTCACAGGCTTAACCTTGCTTTCTAATTTCACTTTCTCCTTTGGGGTCTACTCTAGTGCAATCACTGCTGCTGTTCAAAGAAAGGCCAATGCTTTATAAAAAAAAGCCTTTCTACCACCTGCTGAAGACCTGAGCGAAAAGACTGTCAGTGTCTGAAACAGAAGAAGGGAATGCAGAGCACTCTTCAGTGGGACAGAATAATGAGACTGTATGCAAGATAAAATAAGAGACAGAATACTACACAATGAGCACTGCAAAAATACACAGAACACACCAACTCCCACATTTCCTGCACTGGGCCCAAACTGGGTACCTGACACTTCATGGGTCAAATTCTCCATTCCATTATAATGGCAGTCTCTTCCAAAACCCTGTTTATTTAGTGCTCTGGCTTATGCCTGAGGCATGTGGTTTTATATCTTTCTTTTCTTATCTTATATCATGCATCCGAATAAATGGCTAACACTTTTTAAATCCTGCTAAGCTTTTGGATTCAAAGATATCTTGTGA